GACTGAACAATTAATCACTAAATTAAAAGAATCTTTGCAAGAAAGTACGTCAGTAGTTACCATTGCGAAATCTAAACGCACCATTAAACCATGGATGACGGTCGGTGTTTTGAGGTGCATTAAAAATAGAAATAAAATGCAAAAAAGATTAAGATTAGATCCTAATAATGAAATATTAAGTATTTCCTATAAGCGATACAGAAATTATTGTAATGGACTTATAAGAAAATTGAAACGTAAATATGATAGAGAAAAACTAACTAATGCCACGAAAAATCTATAGAGTCTCTGGAAAAATATTAAAGACGTAACAAATTTATCAGGAACTGAAAATAGCAACACAGATCTACTAAACATCAAATCAGTACCAATGGACTCTGTTCATTTTGTTAACGACTTTTTCGCAAACGTAGGGAAAAGCTAGCGGAGCATATCAAAGGGAAGCAAGACGTGAAAGAAAGAGATTACACACAAAACTCGCTTTCTCAAATGTCCTCTTTTGTGTTGTTGGACACAATTCCTGATGAAGTTAATAGTGTACTTATGGGTCTTAAAACCGATAGTGCTCCTGGTTAGGACAACATAACAAAAAAAATTTCTAAAACGTGCAAAAAATGAAGTCATTCCAGTAATTTGTCATTCAACAAATGCTTCTCTAGGGGCGTCTTCCCATCGACCCTGAAAATTGCGATCATTACACCGATTCACAAGGCTGGTGACAGGGATGATGTCAATAATTATAGACCCATATCAGTATTGCCAGCTATCTCAAAAATTATCGAAAAATTAGTAAACAATAGAATAATACAATACCTGGATAAATTTAATATCTTATCAGACTCACAGTTTGGTTTTAGGAGGGGCAAAAGCACGGAAGACGCATCTCTGGACTGACAACTTTAATAACAGAGCATCTTGATAGTGGTAAAAAATGCATTACCGTTTTTCTGGATATACAAAAAGCATTTGACACCGTCTCTGTCCCAATTCTCGTGCAAAAATTAGAACAAATCGGTATTAGAAGCACGCCCTTAGAGCTGCTTAAGGATTACCTTTCTCATCGAAAGCAGAGAGTAAGGTTGGGTCCATATAGGAGTTGCGATACGTATGTAACATACATATGGCGTACCTCAAGGTAGTGTGTTGGGACCAACCTTATTCCTGATATATATAAATGACTTGTGTAACATGAGGCTGAAAACTGGTCGGATGTTCTCGTACGCTGATGACACGGCTCTTGTTTTCTCGGGTGCCTCATGGGAGGAAGTACGCGAAGAGACTGAGAAAGGGCTTGCCAGAGTCGCTGAATGGCTCGAGACCAACCTTCTCACACTAAACGCCCATAAAACCAATTACATATGTTTCTCGATGTACAGTAGCACACAGCCTCAAAGTGATTTTGAGCTAAAAGTTCATAGGTGCGGAAGAACCATTGTGCAAAACTGTCTCTGTGCTCAAATAGCTAAGGTACCCTCCACTAAATATTTGGGTGTTATGATAGACCAACGTCTTTCCTGGTTTGCGCAGATTGAGCTAGTAGCTAATAGAATCAGGAAATTGACATTGATGTTTAAAATTCTTAGACATATAGCAACAAAAGAATTAATAAATAAAATCTATGTGGCTCTGGCTCAGTCTGTAATTACCTATTCTATTTGTGTGTGGGGAGGGGCCGCAAAGACAAAATTTCTGGAAATTGAACGGGCTCAGCGATTTTTACTAAAAGTTATGCTCTTTAAATCCTATCGATTTCCAATTGACCAGCTTTACTCCATCAGTAAACTGTCGTCTGTCAGAAAACTGTACATAGTACAGATTATTCTAAAGACACACAAACAACTTCCATACGATTCAAATAGCGTAAGCAGAAGAAAACAATACCATGTTGTCCCCCAGCATTATGTGAAAACTATCTTTGCTAGTCGTCAGCATAAAAAGCAATCAAGTCATTTGTATAACTGTATAAATAAAAGCCTAAACATCTATTACATGAACTTCTATGAATGTAAAAGATCTGTAGTTCAATGGCTACAGTTGTTAAGCTACGAAGAGACTGAGGCTCTATTACAGGCTGTTACTTAAGTTGTAAAGTAAATTTTTGTAAGTTACTATTACATACCTTACTATCAAATACCTTAATATAATCGGCCGTATCCAGGGTTTTAACATACAACACACACAGCCCACGTCATTCGCACGCACGCACGCACGCGCGCACGGGCGCACGCGCACGCGCACGCGCACGCACACGCACACGCACACGCACACGCACACGCACACGCACACGCACACGCACACGCACACGCACACGCACACGCACACGCACACGCACACACACACACATATATATATATATATATGTTAACTTTTTAAACTCTCTTTAAAACTTAGTAAACTCTTTCTCATAGTTTGTAGTCCTTTACTTTATTTTTATTTTGTTTTTTTGTACCATAGTTAACAGATTTAGTTCAGTAATTGTACTTTTGTTTAACTTTGTTTCAAAAATCTATTATGTACTAGTTATAGAGGAGTGAGATCTCCTGATACAAGTATTTTCATACTTAAAAGAAGATCTCAATCTCGCATGTTGTTGTTTAAATATTTGCGAAGAAATAAAAACTTTTTATTTTTATTTTTTATTTTTACCGTATTACACTATTTTTCGGTTTATATCGTTCTCCAAGTTTCATCTCCTATTTCACCTTTTTGTGACAAAAAGTAGCCTATGTCCTTCTCCTAAGTCCCATCTATTTTTATATCAAAATTCATCAAAACTGGTTTAACAAAATTGGTTAACTGGTTTAGTTTAAATTGGTTTAATTGGTTTGGATTTCGGCTTGAAAACGTAACAGACAGAGTTAGTTTCGCATTTTTTTTCCATTTAGTACACATAAAAACCTTACAAAACATACCGAGTTCTTAGGTTTTCGGTTTGTTATTCATAGGAAATGAAATAATTTTTCCGGATTTAAATCGCGTAAATTTGTTTTTTCAAACAAACCAACGTTTCGGGCCCTTTACAGGTCCAAGTTTACCATGGGGTCACGGTTGATTGAGGTGGTAGTCATCATACACACACATTATATATATATATATATATATAATATACATATATATATACATATACGTATATATATATATATACATTATATATAAACACTCACAAAAATTCATGTATATATATATATATAAAATATAATATAATGTATATACATATTATATACTAGATGTTGTCGCCTTACTGATCTTTAAGTGTATGGGTAACTAATGTGGAACACTATTAAGCTTTCACGTATACAACAATTAAGTTAAATATAACTATATATATATATATATATACACATATACATATACATATGTATATAGTTACATTTATAAATATATAAATATAACTATAAATACAATTATAACTTCATGCAGCAACGGCAGCGCAGTGCATACGCATACCAAACGACCAACTAAAACAGTGAGACCTTGACCCTTGTGGATACAGTTGTAATTCTAGATATAATTTAGATACTAAATTGCAGTTGGGTCCACATATAAATAAGTTATCAAAACGACTCAGCTCTGTAGTGTACGCGATTAAAACATACGAAAACTTTCAGACGTCGAAACTGCTAGATTGGTTTGCTTCAGTTACTTTCACAGTTTCATGACATGCGGCATTCATGACGGTGGCATTACCCCAAAGCAAAACTTTTGGTGTAATGCCGCCGATATAAAAGACAAACAGTAGAAACGTCCCGTTATTTAGAATCTGGACCGCAGATTGTCTTTAAATATGTAATGGATAAATGGATAAGTTTAAAGAGATTAACATTCTTAGACTAATGTCACAGTACATTTTTGAAAATGTTATTTGTCTTAAGAAAAATATTATTTTTTTATGAAAAATAGTGACAGTAACATTAATATAAGTCTCCCGGTCACGACGGCCTCAGCACAGAGCACCTAAAGTACGCTGGAGAGCATTTGCCGCGGGTGTTGACCATGTTTTTCAACTCATGTTTGAGCCATAGTTACTTGTCCGATGATCTTATGTACACGGTGGTTGTATCAGTAATAAAGAACAAAACCGGAGATGCCTCTGATTATCTAACTACAGGCCCATATCTCTGGCTACTGTTATAGCTAAGGTGTTGGATAGTCTGTTTGATAAACGCCTGGATAAAGTAATTAACTTACATGACAATCAATTCGGTTTCCGGCCTGGATTGTCCACAGAAAGCGCTATCTTGTGTCTCAAGCAGGCTGTCCAATACTATTCTACCCGTAAAACGCCTGTATACGCGTGTTATCTGGACTTGTCAAAGGCATTTGAGCTAGTTTCATATAACACTCTATGGCACAAGCTGGAGAGTGAGACTGGTTCACCATGCCAGTTGATTGCAATTTTAAAATTCTGGTACAGCTACCAAAACAATACAGTGAGGTGTACAGTGGGTGCTCAATCGGATGTTTACAGGTTGGAGTGTGGAGTTAGGTAGGGGGGTTTGATTTCGCCGTGGCTCTTCAACCTGTACATGGACGGGCTGATGGGTGAGCTCAGAAGTACCAAAATTGGTTGTCATATTGATGGGGTCTGCGTTAATCATATATGTTACGCTGATGATATGGTGCTTTTGAGCCCATCTATCGGCGCCCTGCGTAGGCTGCTAAAGATTATATAATAACATTCCGATTGATATTTTCAATCGGAAAAAACTGAAAAGATTAAGCGACCAGTAAGAAATTGAGCACATTTTATTATTTTGTGAAAAGTTTTTAAATGCAAACAAGAGGAAAAATGAATTTGCGGGGGTGTAAAATACGTGTAACTATGATCGATGTACAAATATATTTTGTGGCTGATGAATTAATTACCAGTCAATTTTCTAAGATTTCTGGACGATTTACAATAAAAACAAATAAGTTACGAAAGGGGAAAAGTCTTGAAATAAGTTAAGTGATCCGTAATGTACCTATAAGTGCGTTGAGAAAAGACGTGATTATATTACCTTTTTTGCTATCGCAGTTGAATTCATGCATATCACAATTGTCAATGAAGGTCCGCATTTCACCACAGGAGTCGATACCGCAGATCGGAACCTGGTCGTGTCGGCAGATGTCAGCGATTTTGCACTCCTCTTGAAGCTGGAATAAATATATTTAATTGAGAGTGTTAACGATATTTTTTTACACATCAGTATTTGTTATCTTTGTTAAGTTATAATAATACTGAAACTTAGACACGTTGGAAATGATTTGTAGCAAATACCAAATACAGTTTTGTCTTACAAAGCACAATTGATGAACTTACAAGTGCATAGACCTACTCGTTGAATAAAGCCTTGAGAGACGTTCATTAATCTGATGTATAACATAGGGTATTTGAACTAGAACAAGCCTTGAGGAAGTACTCAGGGTAAAACGTAGCCTTGAGGGACTCTGTGCATGAACCCAGAATTGAGCCAGAAACCGAGTTCAGTAAGTGGAGCAGCTTAAGACTTCACAATTCGTCAATGAATTGTAAAGTCTTTAAGCATTATTTGATGATTACCTTTTCGCTATCGATGTGCGCAAGACAGTCATTGATGACTCCTAATAAATAAATAGAAATACAAACAAAACTATGTTTAGTCATCGCCACGTCATTTTAAAAAAATACTTTAATAAATTACATTGAAAAATGAAACAAAAACGAAAATGTACATTCCTATCGGAACATTGCCACGGACCACTTGGAAATCAGTTTAATAATATTGAAAATTGAAAGCTATAAATTGGATTGTTCGCAACAAACCGATATCGAGCCTGAATAGGTTTTGAAATATAAAGTATTGTGTTGAATGTAGTCGTATGTCACAATAATATTTCTGAATATTTTTGAAGAGGTTGAGGGTACTTTAAAAAAATACGCTATACGGGAACTGAAATTGGGCCTTGAGGAACAGCCAAGGGAATGGAACATTAATTACTAGATTAAGTTTAATCTTAATTTGTGATCATCACCAGCTTATACGCATCCCCTGCTGGACATAAGGCTCCCCTAGAGCACGCCAACTCGCCCGGTCTTGTCAAGTTTCTTAATTTGAAATGCGCAACTTAATTTGCTCTAAAGGATACGTCCAAATAAAAAAAATAATTAATATTTACTATTCCGTACAAAATTATTCCATTGCCTGGCTTATGCGAAAGTAAAATATAATTTATTAGAACATTTCTTTTTGCAATATTAAATATAATCTTTTAACGTCAAATTCGTTGAAACTTTTAGTCAATTAAGAAATTTTATGCAACTTGGCGCAAAGTTTTCTGGAATGAAAAATCGATCTTACTGTGTCTAGCTGATGTCCCAGTCTAGGTCACCTAACAGTGTTTGTTAAAGCTTAGTATTTTATAATTTAAGTATATTAGAGGACAACCTTGGGTACGAAATTAATTATCTTAGAAAGGCAAAGGCTTTCCACGTACATATATTCCAAGAGAAGATGGAACTTGCCCAACTAAATTTCTACAAGTTCGTTAGGAGCTTATTAAAGTTGAAATCGCAAAACTCTTGAGAGGTACTTTTACTTAGGCAAATATTAAATAAAGTACACCGGTACTTAATATTAAACATACCGATATTTAATATTGAATCACCTATAATTATGTTCGTGAAAAAATCAAACATAATTTTGAAATTAAATGTGGTATTAGTGGTAAATTGTAGGTCATTTTTTGACTAAAACCAATGATCTTATTGACTAGCATCGATTAAGTCGCCCCTTTTTTGTTCCAATCAGGTCTAAGGTAGGTTCTGGTGACGCTAGAATGAGTTATCCTAGCGTAGAAAGCCCAACATCCTTGTAACTAAAACGGCGAACCAACTAAATCTATTACTTAAAGACTAAATAAGTACTTTTTACCGTACTAGTTTCCAAATATTACGGTAACACCGGAATCTGGCACACCAAAATTACAAACCAAAAATTTAGGTCCATTGATTATTTTTTTCATTATATTATTATGACAGTCTTTAGTAGCAGTAGAACTCCTTCTGAAAGAGTTCGTTCAGGGAAGTGCTGCTACTTTTAAACAGTATAATGTGAGCCTTATTGCGTTTCGGATTTGAAGGGTAAAGGTGCTGGTGAAATTAGAGGCACATGTGACTTGCCAACTTATGTTTTAGGGTGGCAGTGATAGGGCGCAGTGGCAGTGATCTTTGAGATTTACAGCTTTGAGTAGCACTGCATCTGTTATGGACGAGCGTGTCGTTTACCACCAGGCGCACGATTTGTCGTGCACTTCCTGTCGCGCACGATTTGTTGTCACTTCATTAAAAAAGTCTACTCAAAGGTACAAAAGACATAATTGTCAATAATGCTACGTTTTTCTTTTGTAAAACGCTTTTAAGAAACGTTCTAATAAAATAAAATTTGTAATACAAGTGCCTCTACGTGTTTAATTTCTGTTTAAGGTATTAAGTTTCTTTTTTATTATTTCTCAACCCTCTAGGCCTGGGTTGACACTTTTGAATGATATACCTATGCGAAATCCGGGTGAGGCACCGGGTATATAAGTAATTTAAAGATTTATTTATTTATTTAAAAAGGTGCTTGAGTTTATCGGATGATATCAATAAAGTATTTATACTACGAGTTAAATAAATAACAGTGCTCTTTACCGTAACTAATATCTCATTCACTCTTTGAAGCCAATCAGTGTTTGTAATTAGTAATAAAAAAATTAAAGATATTGAGTAAAAAATTTCTACTTAAAAACAAAAACTGTCTCTTCGTATTGCCCCGCATACTCTGAATACTTTTTAAAGAACACTTACCTGTGCTTAACTCGCAATTACACCAAATACGGCTTTAAATAAATAAAAACTATTTCAATTGTTTTTATTAGCCTGGACTTTCTGGACTTGAGGATAGATTTTTTCTTGCAGATGATGACATATGAATATTATTAAAATAAGTACCAAATATCTTTCATGTCTATAACGTAGCTGCATTTTGAAATAATTGGTCTTTCAAAGAAGAAGGAGTGTTAAAGGTAGGAATTGTAAAAACATTATGCAACAAAAAACAATCAATAAAAAAATAGTGCAATCAGCATAGCGCCACCTCTGTTAGTTTTCTGCTAGTTGCTGTGGCTGAGTGAAGCCGGGTTTTCACTAGTCGAGAACTCTCGGACCGAGTGCGCTCACACGAGTTACATCGTATAGAACTCCACTCGGATTTTGGTTTACATCTTATGAGTTCATCAGCATCCTAATAGCATTTATCTCTTTTCACAATCAAGATGACGACGACTGATTTGCTGCTGCGAGGTATAGGAGTTCTAGCAGATATGCGTCAATACACACAAAATCATGAAAGGGAAAAAACAAAGGAAGAGTTATCGAGTTTGCTTGGTCCCGGAAGCCCGAGTGGCTTGGTCCGAGAGAATTCGTACTGTGAAAATTCGGCTCGAAGAAATGTTGACGGTTCGGCAATTTAAAACCTTTAAAAAAATTCAATTCGAGAATCTGCAATAAGCACATAGACAAATTTGTAACTTGTAGCTCAGTTGACAAAGCGACAAAGCCACTTTGAGGCAACAGATGCTGGTTCAAGACCAGTCCGTTTGAAGGAGTTTTGTTTGTGCTTGTTCGATCTTAATAACAGTTTGTTATCTAGATATAAATGAATAACTTGGTAGTAGTTAAAGATCATAACACTCAATGAAAGAAAACAAAGTTACTATATTATAGTCTATTATTAGGTTTGGAGTTGATGTTGCAATCAGTTCTAAACTCCGGTTTCTTAAAAGAGCGGCCTCTTTTGCAAGTCACCCAACACTCGTGAATAGGTCGGCTGCGGAAATCTGAAAACAATTACATATATTGAGTGTGAGTTGAGTGTACTATGATGTTTTTTATTTCCCCGGGTACAAATTATTATACTTAATGTGGTCCAAATTTGTGTACCAGTAGAAATTATACATCAATTCATCAACCATCGACAATCTCTAATAGTACGCTGTATCCTTGTCATAACGCCTTACACTTTGGTAACTTTCCAGATAGTGGCCCTTAAATTTTTTTCTTTAAAAAATTTTTTCTTTTAAAAAAAAGTCAAATTCGTTGATTTTGTTCAACAATAAAACTGAAACTGAATAATATATAAAAAGTCGATTCGAAGAGAGTTATGGAACTCGTTTCACTGATTCCAGATATGTTAATAATTCGATTTTGCTAAAAATGTCGATTACGTTAGTAGTAGGAGGGGCAGTATGTATTTTCGTTAATTCAAATTTCTAATATTCTTCTGTTCTATGCTTTCACGTATTTTTTCTTACACGTCTTTTTACAAATATACATATGTTTATGGTAAATGTACCAATCTTTGACACTGTCCCTATTTTTTTTTAATTTTCACACATTAATTTGGGTAGGCAAAGGTTTTACCATACAGCCACTTCATACAAATTATATCTTTCATTGATTTAATGGCAAAGTGGGCAAAGCGACCAGCGCCATTTCTGCAGTTAATTTTTTTTTTTCAGTTTATTTCATAAGTCATGAAGGTTAGATGTTATGTATTTGTATAGGACAGGATACGCTTCTATGTTTTTTAATAGATCTTCTGTTGAGCGCGGGATATCCTCAGGTTTGCTATATATTTCCAGCAGGTGATCAATGAGGCTAAGGCGTTATGACACTTTTTAATTTTTTTCTTTAACAAAAAAACAAATTTTGATATAACTCCAAAACTGTGTTAGATGTACTAGTGATGGCATATATGAATTCCGTTTAGAAACTTTATTCGAATCACTCAATATTTTTTTAGTATGGTGACAATTTTTGTGAACAGGTCATCCGAGTTGAAAGAGCATTGGTGTTCTTCCAATAATCGTTACGATTTTGAGTAGTTTGAGTGCATTTATTAGTGGTAATTTTGTTAATTATCGGTAAGTGATTATTAAAACTATTAGATAACTGTATAAACAAGTTCTTTTATCTGTATTTATTGATGTATATCATATATATTTTATTTTAGCGGCATGTCAAACACTGGTGCAAATTTCAACGTTTAGTAATAGTTGACACCCATGTCAAGCACTCGTGCAAATGAATATTTTTTTAAACTTAATTTCCACCACTGTAAGGACGGCGAACGCAGGTTTGGATTACTCTGTTATTGACAAATTTATTTGAGTAGTTTAAGTAGTGTTTGACATGGGTGTCAAAGACTTGTGTTACTATGGGGACCCAATGCTTGACAGTCGTATATTGAGATGTCAAACTCTTGGACGTAACTAGTGTCAACTATAACTGATTTTGGCTTTTGTTCTTCTTTAAATTTATTGTTATAAAGTAGTAAATGCAGTTAAATAACTATGAACTCTTAACATAACTTCCTGTCAAACATTGATCTCATTTTGCCATCGTCAACTATTGGGACATTAAAACTTGTCTGTCATACACTGGTATAACTTTAGAGGTTGCGAAAAACTGGAATATTTTAATAATGCTATGATTATTTTAAATTTTATAGTTCATTTAAGATAAATGATAAACCGTTTAACATGTTAACTCTAGATATATACATAGATAGATATGGATAGATATAGATATAGATAGATAGATATAGTCATAGTCAGTATGACTGATAATTAAGTACTTTTTTGCAAAACGCGATGTTCCGTCTGAAAGTGTCATCCACTGGGACATTTACCTCAGTTAGAAATAAACTTTCAGAACAACCACTAAGTAGGTAGTGAAGCTAAATGTACCAGACGTCTAAATTACGGAATGATGCAGCGTGTTGTGGTTTGTATTCATTACATTTCTCAATTGCCAGCGTTACAACAGTGTACAAATAATATAAATGAGTTGTTTGTTGTTAAATTTGTTTCTATTGAACTAATTTTAAAAAAAGTGGCTCCGTTATGTACACATAGCGTTTTTCGACTACAATATAAAAAAGTTTTAAATTAAAATATAAATGCGATAAGTATAAAGGCTATGAATAAAATAAAACAAAAAAATGTTTATAAAGTACCTACGAGGATTTACACAAATTAAAGTCTGTGTCAATTAAGATTTTTGTTGTAACTTGTAATCTGCTATAATTGTAGCGTAATCAGTGTGATAGTAAGTAATTTCAATAACGTTAAAGCGAATAAAAATGCAGCAAAGGAGCTGGGCATCGCAAATGAATTTTTTTTTGCCGGATTTAAATCGCGTATATTTGTTTTTTCAAACAAACCGATGTTTCCGGCCCTTTACAGATCCTATGGTCACGGTTGACTGAGGTGGTACAGTCTTCAACCAGTTATGTCTAATATTAATGCAAACCACCCTATTTTTTCACTATAGTTATTAATTAAATACCTTATTTTTAATTTTAGAAAGAAAATATTCCAATTTACGCTACATTAAGTTTTACAAATTATTATATTGAATGAATTTTTATTAAGTTCAATTTATTATTAATTAATAATAGAAATTTGAATAAACTAAGTAAAACATATTAATTAGTACTGCAGTCTTATGACTGTTTGGGATTTTTCATCAGGGGTAATACTGGATTCCAAATTGGGGGTACGGAGAAACCATCTTCCCTTGTGAAATTAGGATGTTTTTTAATTTCAATGGCCTTAATGTGTAGGTTTATCCATGACATGCTCGCAAACTGCAGACTTGTTTACGCGACGGTGTTTGACATCAGCTTTATGTTCTTTGACGCGGGTACAAATACTTTGGTTCGTTTGTCCAATATAAGAGAGACCGCATTCACAGCTTGCCATCCTTTCCAAGCACAAAGCCGGTCGTGTACGGAGTACCTACTGCTGTCACCTGTGGGATGGTTCTGCTATATAGCAATTAGCCATTCCGACTCCGTTTGATTACTACCGTTAAGCTGCCTGCTTATAGGTATTCTACAGAATATTCACGGAGAGTGTGCGAGGGAATTGCTCGATTAAATCTGCGTTCTCATTTCCTGGGGTTCTTTCTACTGGGCATATTTCAAGGCGTCACATGAGGTTTTATGATTGCATATTTGTATGGCGAAAGCGTATGGAGCTCAATTTCTATATAACTTGGGTGTTTTCAAGGCTAGAGTAAGTAGGCATTATTTAGGTGAGCAATTTTCATAGTCGACCTCAACGTCACTTTCCAACAGGTGAGATGGAGATCAAAAGTACAAGTAGAAAAAATACAAAATACCTTTTTTGCTGTCACAATTGAATTCATGCATGTCACAGGTGTCAATAAATGTCCGCATTTCGCCGCAGGAGTCGATGCCACACATCGGCACTTTGTCGTGTATACACAAATCTGCCACTTTGCATTCCTCTTCATTCTGTACAGTGTGAAACCATTTGTTAGTTTATCCATAAGAAAAACTGAACATCCATTACCCTTCTTTGCCGACATCTGTCAACGTCTATCCCTCCTCTATAAAAATCGTGTTAGTATATTAAAAAACAAAATGGCGATGTTATATAAAACGATAAATGTTTATTTAAATACTACTTGTCTATTAGTTAGACAATATAATTATCGTTACGGATGAAAAAGTTACAGATTAATAATAAAATTCAAAAATGTACCTTCAGAGCTTCGCTGTGACCATTAACAAGTGACACTAAATACATGAGAATAGCTGAAAACAAAAGTAAGAATAGTAGTGTATTTCTTAAATAACTTCTCATTTAAGATATTTATGGTTGGTAGAGAATTACCTAGTAATACTAACATAATGTCGCGTCATAGTACCAAAAATAAATGAGTTGCTTGTATATACATTGCTATTGTGATATTTTTTACAGACTTGAATGCATTTTATGCTACTTTAAACCATTTAACTTTATGGGAGTTGTATCGGAAACAAATTCCGAGCTCACGAGTATTGACGTTTGTAATATTATAAAGAAACGTGACTGAGTTATTTTTTGCGCTTATCGCCATTTCTTCTAAATATTTGAAATCGAATCGAGCAGTTCGAGCAGAACCGGCTGCCGTCCGTTTCAAAAAGCATTTGGTTAAAAAATAAAATAAAAATCTTTTATTTTCAGACACCATAGGTCCATAGTTTGTTAGTAAACAACCTTATACTATATTAGTAACAAACGACTGTATGGTGAATTTATGGTGTGTTGTATATATAGTGTACATTGAAATTTTCAAAATCGAGATGTCTAAATATTCAAAATACGTAATATAAAATTAACTGAAACAATTATAATGATTTAGTCGAAAGTAAAAAATTAAAATACTAAAATTTTCAATTAATAAAATAACAATTGAAATTCAAATTAGCTAATAAAATAATAATAATTAACATGAACAAAATTAAAATTTTGTTCATGTTTTTGTTGTCATAGGGAAACCCATTACATTACGATTGCTACTACTTAGTCACTATTTTTGTGTGCGAGATACATCTGTCTACACAATGTGCTATAATCGGGGAATCATGTCATGGCGAGGCCGTTTTCTTTCGCATGATGGCATTAAAATCATTAGAATCCGCAGCGCGCCCAGGGTCCGCTGCGTGCGGTTGATCCACAGGGCGCACGTGTAGAACACCTGACAGTAGGCTCTAAGCAATGTTAGTTTTACAAGGACACTACAAACGCGCAAATCACCAATCAACATATTACAGCGGACCGTCAGCGCCCTGCATTCCTTCTCAATGTTTACCGTTACGAAATGCCCGAGATATTTAAATTGGTTAACCCGCTTAAGTTCTGCACCGTTGAGTGTAATTTTGGGTACATGAGATGGACACTTACCACTGACGGCCCTAAAAACCAAAAAGTCGCTTTGTTAACGTTATACAGGAAACCATGTGAAAGTGCATAACGTTCACAAACCTGTAGTAGACACCTAAGCGCTCTAACTAACCATTGGACTCAGCAGCATCATGTCATCCGCGTTACTGATGTTATTGACGCTGACGTCATGCACGCGACAGCCGACCCTCCACACTGTAATTTGAAGGAGTCTGAGACCTTATTAGCCCACCTCGCGTAGTTCACTTGATTATGATACCAGTATTGAAATATACGCAACAACTCCGCTGGTACATCTCTATCTCGAAGCTTGTCCCACAAAACATCACACGATACCAGGTCGAAAGCACGGGAGAGGTCGAGAAAATAAGCGTACACTGGCGTTGGTCTTTCAGTGTAGTAGCGAACCGTATGTTTGAGAGTCAGAACCGCACTCTCAGTTGAAAGTTTGGAACGAAACCCGAACTGTGCGTCGTGCAAGTGCAAATAACTTTCGAGACGATCGTCCAGCAGACTGTCAAGCACCTTTGCCATAATCGTGGCCAGTGAGATGGGTCGATAATTAGCCGTGTCAGTTACATCACCCGTTTTGTTTTTAATTATGCGCCCTACAACGCACTGTACGCGTACGATCATAAGGAAGGTATGAGTGGCACATGCATAGAGAGAAAAACGTAGCTAGAAGTCTTGGCAAGTGAGGTGCTATGCTGCAGATGCTCGACGCTGATGCCGTCGTGACTCGGAGACTTTCCTCTTGTCATTTTATTTTAAGAAGGCTTCCCATCCGGTAATCGGTAAGGCATCCTGGCTAGGTCCATGTCGAGCTATTGTAACACAGATTATTGTATGTTTTACAGTGAAATAAGTCGACACGTGAACGGTGTAGGTTGTTATGTTGGTTAGATATTATTCACAAGATTCCAATAACTCGAGAAGTTTCTGATTTTCAGGACACGTAGTACGGTATAATTGCGGCTCAAAACTTTTTAATATACGTTTCTTAATGTCCTTCTCGTAGCAGTGGGACTTTTATTTGATACGATTGTTTGCAACATGCGTAAGTGCTCTCACTTCCTGTTCTAACCAGGGAATAATTTGAGACAAGAACTAAACCGGTAAACAAAGGCAACAAAGGCAACCAATAATAATTTGTTTAAGGCAGTAATGTGAGCATTACTGCGTTCCGGTTTTGAAGGGTAAGGGTGCTGGTGAAGTTACAGGCACATGAGAATTGTCGACTTATGTTTCAGGGTGACGGGCGTAATGGCAGTGACCCTCAGATTTTTGCGATTTAAAGTAAGTCTGAGTGGCACTGCAATTGCTATGAACAACCGTGTCGAAAACTTACATTTATGACTTTTTTTTCATTTACACACACACTATACACAATAACTGCGTTTGATTAACCAATTAAATAAGTACGAAAAAATTTAAAGCTTAGAGTCTAGCGCAGTTTTTAAAGTTACCCAGGAACTATGGATTCCATGTAGTAATCTACATTTTTAGATTTTTGATTTAAATTTGTGAATTCAAGTCTGACTCACTCGAGCGTGACGTGACATCCACTTTAGGTCAAAATTTTCGTAGCTTGCGTTGATCTTACGATCTGATTATTTTATGCGTGAAAGTACAATTTATACAAATTGAGTTACAAAACAAGCCTCCTGAAGAAACCTTCTACAAACCGAAAAAATAAATTTTAGAGCCATACGGGTTGAAAATATCCAAAAAAATCGTTAAAAAAATCATAACACTAAAATACAAAAAATTGCGGAATATATTATATGGGGGTGATTCAGATACCCCTCAATATGAGGGTCCTAAATTTTACTTTTGAACGTTTAGTACACCGTATTCAAATAAAGCTTTTTATATTCATTTGACGTCACAACAAATAAATACATAAACATGTATAGGAAATTAGATTAGTACTGGCATGCAAAATTAAACAACACTAATCGAGCGTAATAGAGAGCCATGCTTTCCGTAATTTGATTATAACGCATTTAATAATCGTAAATCACTTTCTTTATGTACACTAGGCTGTAGTTTTTGATCAGATATTGAATAAAATAATAATAATGTACACACTCACAGCGCCGCACTATGGTAGGTGCCTTGCATGCCAGGTGCATACACATAGACAATCACAAATAACATCCAAATTCTCGAGATAAATAAATATAGGCCATACAAAATGTTTTCCGGCTCTGGAATCGAACCTGGGATCTCTGCGTGGCACTCCACTATGGTAACCGTTCGGCCATTGAGGCAGTATAAGTGTGGTCGACAATCGTGGTAATGATAGAGATTATAAGTTTTGTAAATGCAGTACTTAGGTATTTGTATGTGTTACCTTTAGTAAATAAGAAAATAGTTTCATACTGATGTTCTCCAAGAACATAATACACATTAGGTACGAAACCACAAAATACTGGGCAGATTTTCGAGGCAATAAGAAATTTAATAAAAACGTAATTTAATATTTACTGATTACTTTATTATACATTATGAACTGACTTTAAATATGCCGTTGATTGAATTGAGATTTTTTTGATATTTCCGTTATAACAATTTTTTTAGGACTCTCCACAAATTCATAAAATCATTTTCAAATTTTTGGAATTTAAAAAAAAAACGACGAAATTAAAAAAAAACACGTTAATGTTAGTTTGCCGAATTTATTGCATAAGGCGGTCGGTTATTTTAAATACTTTGTATTGATTGTACCTACTTACTAAACTTAAAATAAATTAAAAAACATTACCTTTATTAACGGTTGGTAACCGTGAATGATCCTTAGTCAAAAGTATGAGTACAATGTTTTAAAAGATATTTATAGGCGGGTATTGCATAATGATTAAGAAATAATCAAAATGGTTCGGTCGCTGTACTCAATGATTGTGTGTATAAGTGGCGCAGGCGCTGTTGCGATCAACCTACACGCAAAGCCTCTTGCAAGAGGACATAATGGAGGTTGTGCCAATCGGTAAGCTATTCCATTTAATGTCTATTAATACTCATTTGTTTGTAATTTATGTACAGGTATTTTTGTAATGTTCATTTTGTAAAATATTTTATCATATTTTGTATATTATTTTTATATTGTTTTATCTAAAATTTATTATAAAGCCAATTAAAAATGCCCACGAACATTTGTCTCAGTGACGGTAAGAGGCCTGACGGTATGATTGCCGGTCCTTGGAAGCTATGGAGACAGCAAGTGTGGGACGCAACCTGTGTGGGCACCGTAGCCCTTCCCATGTCCTTGCAAGCGTGGTCGGCGCAGTCTGTGGCCACAGCGGCCGAGAACCGCAAAAGGCTCAAATACACCAACCTTGCTCAGTGCTACAGCTTTGTGCCTTTTGCAATTGAAACCCTCGTAATCTTAGTCGCCTCGTAGAAGCCTCCGGTGACCACAAGCCTGGCAGTTATTTCCGCCAAAGAATAAGTTTAGCAAATTAAAGGGGAAATGTTGCCAGCCTTCTGGGCACGATGCCCCAGGGTACGGCCTTTGAGGAAGTTTTCTGTTTATAAACTTTCTTACTTTTTTGTGTATCTACTTGCTACAATAATATAGCTAACACTGTATGAAAATTATGAATAAATAACTCTACACTTTTTACCTATATAAAATAGTACTAAACATATAATATTATCATAAATAAAGAAGTTTATAAAAATATATATATGCTTATATATTATTTTGAATTGATTTTATGAATAAATTTTATCAAAATTTACTTGTTCTAGTGGTCTTATTGGTGTTGAGTATGGGACTGCTCTCCCTGCAGTCTCCTATGGAAACGCTAGATGATGTATTGGTAAATCCCGTGGAACCAGCCTTGGTGAGCTTACTTGAATACCTATTTGGCATCTCTTGTAATCCTGCTTCCAAATGTGAAGTCAGTTGGGACCATATAGTTTTTGGTTGTTTTGCCAGAGGACACGCGTGAAGCGAGAGGCGTCCAGTACAGTTGCACAAAGACGGCAACTTAATTTTGAACAATTTATAGAAGACAAGTTAATTCAGCACGGTAAAGCTTTGGAACAACTGCTCAAGTCAGTCCAGAAAAATGAAGAGCTAACTAAAACATTGTTAGACAATATTGGTAATCAATATGTAAGCGAGCCAAAAATGCCCGAGAAAATTGAGGTACATCATCAAAAAACTAGACGTAGAAATGAAAGTGAAAATGATAATGCACTTGTACGACTGGGTAGAAATATACCGGTTTACGGAAACTTGGTCAAACACATGATTATGGGAGAAGTTCGAAAAGATCAGAAAGACCCGATACCTTTAGTTGAAAAACACAGTAACTGAGAATATCAGGTAAGTGAGATGTAAGTTGTCTGAAACGATTTTTGTAAATTTCATTTTTACACTCTTGTAGTTCGTTTCTGATAGCATACATACACTTACCTTATGTTACTATAGCTTAATAAGATTGTCTCTTATGTTCACTAAAAATAAATGTATTGAAGAGACTCTGCTTCTTTTTCTTTGCTCTCCTTAGCTGAATTAAAGTGGAAGAAAACTTTTCTGCTTATAGTAAGGAACGTAGTAAATAGTAACAGTGAGATAGAAAATAATTTTGAAGTATAATTATGAAGTGCAATTTTTTAAAGATTTAAAAACATCACTCTTATTAGCTATTTTATGTGAATCCTGTAACAGTGTTGAAGGCAATCAAACGATATGTAGGTTTTTGGAATCCAACATCAAAATGGAAAGCTTAGGTTCTACTTAGGTGCTAATAAGTTATATGAAAATATTTACCATAGACAAGAGCAAAACTTTTTCTTTGCAGTTTATTTCGAGACGAACGCAAGGAGGTTCAGCAGTAGTAGTCCCAGGGTTAATCGATACTAATGAAATCAGCCCTTGGTGCACTGTCGCTATGTCATGCCGGAGAAAGGTTGATCCTGTATGCGGGTTTGACGAAAATTTTGGCTACGGGAAGTTTGATGATGTATGCCACATGCTCCAAGTGAATTGCTATTGGAAATACAGTAAGTAATCTTACAATTTTAAAAATATGACAATTTTGATACCAGATTGTTAGGTTCATTCAAAAAAACTTTATTGGAAAACATACATTACAATTTTCAGATTTTGCACTCGCAAATAATTGCAAACCTTCCGTGTGAAAGATCCACTTTCCTTAACTCCACCATAATTATAATTTACATAAAACGTCAACCAGTGCATGAATTGTAATACAGAAATGTTGGTTGTGCCGCAAAATGTGTAACAAATGAGTTTATGTTTATACTTGTTTAATTAATATTTATTTTAATAAATACATAGCTTAAGATATATTTACGTCTATAATTAATTTTTCTTAAAAGTTTCCCTATCCCAGTATTTCTTTTGGATTTGGGCAAACTCCTTCTTCTTCTTTCACGTGTCTGAAAACTAAAAATATATTTTTTGCAAAATATACGTTGTAAAAAATACGTTGCAGAACAATTTTATATTTGAAAAGAGCTCGTTTCATTTCCGTTCAACGATTCCGGTCGGTTCAATGAGAGAGCATCTATCTCACTCTCACAAGTATTTTATAAGATTCGTCGATGTCCTGACGAAACTACACGTACGAATGCTGATGGCCTATAATTTTAATGTCTAACTTTAAATTCATGTCATTCGAGGTTCCTGCCTGCGAAGTATAACCCCCCGTTAATGCACAAGTATATTAAATGACTAAAAATAGACTCTTAGGCCACCAAATGTAATAATATATATTACATGTGAGTAAAGATACATAATGTGCAAACATGTTTACAGTTAAGAATGTATATCTAATTTAGATGAAACTACGCCCGCGTGTACATACTCTCTCAACGCGATAGTTCAATTATTACTTTACAAACAAGCAATGGCTGACACTGTTGCAATTCTGGTACATATATACTTGGTGATATTTTGTGTGCTTATTTTGAAGGAATGAAGCTATGTTTGCATTATTCTGGGTGGCATTTCAGTCCATCACTTATGCTAAGTACAACAGCGCTGGAATAATGCTGTATGTATTGAAGTGGAAATAATAAACTGTTCTGCCCTTCTTATCATAACTAACGTAATACGGTTTATGGTTTAAGATATTTCATTCTCAAAAGAATACAAATTCACTTAGCGATAAATACAAGGTATCACAAAATTTCTACAGAGCGTACGTGCGTGCAAAATATTCAAATGAAAGTATGATAAAATTTAGTGTTCTAAGAAAAAACAAAAGCAAGGTATTGTACATCAATTGCCATGGTGAAACTTTAATAGCAATATCAACTCAAAGAAATAAAAATATCACAATTGCGAGAAATTTCTCACAATGTGGGATTTTAATTTCTTAATCGACATTTTTAGCGAAATTGAGTTATTAACAGTGAAACGAGATCTACAACCGCTTCCAATCGGCTTTTTATATCTTATTTACTTTCAGTTTTATTGTTAAGAGTCTATATTCTATAAACTGCCTCCGTGGCCGAACGGTTACCACGGACTGCTAAGCAGAGGTCCAAGGTTCGATTCCCGGGCCGGGAGAAATATTTGTATGGCCTACATTCATTTCTACATTTATTTCTCTCGTTAGTTTTGGTGTAATTTGTGGTTGTCTATGTGTGTGTCCATGGCACCCGCGACACAGGGTTTCCCTAGTGCGGGGCTATGTTGAGTGTGTTCGTTATTAATTAACTTTATACAATCTCAAATGGCTTTGGCTGATTCCGTATAACAGTGAAAGTGTTGAATCAATCACGTTGGAAAAAAAATTATACAGTAAAATTGAGGATGTACCTACTCTACGGAGTGAAAACACGATACCTAAAAATTTTTACGATAGGAAAAAAACACAAACCTACCTCGAAATTTTGCAAGAAAACCGGTGTATTCAGTAGGTAGGTACTTTACATATAACAATGGTTTTTTTATGTCAACTGAACTAAATAGCACACGTGTACTATACGATATACATTTTTCAAATGACTAATTTTGTTTGTAAAAAAAATAATTATGAAGTAAAGCCGAAATGTACCGGAAAAAATTGAATTCGAGCTGAGTACAGACTCTTAAGCAAAATCAGCGTATTGACATTTTTTACTGGCAAAAAACTTTAGGTGCCAATATCTCGAAAGTTACCGAAATGCGAAGGCGTTATTTATGACAAGGAGGGCAGTATTCCAAATAGGCCACTCCAATAATAATGTTGATGGTGGGTGACAACACTATTCAAGTTAACCGTACCTGCTCCCTTTGTAAAAAGCTGAAATTTAAATTATTCTAGTGGCCTTTCAATTACTAGCATAGAGCCTGAAGTGAAATGCCTACTTTTACTAATGTAAACTTCAGTTATATTACGGCGGTAACGCAACTACCATTGGTCACCTAAGATGTTTTACCTCCCTCGTCTTGTACGTGTAAAAATCTCATATTTATGTGTAACAGTAAATATTTACCAATATTGTATTCGCAAGAGAACTCATACATATCGCAAAGGTCTAGAAATGTCCTCGCTTCGTTCACCGACTTGCCGCAAATGATCACGGTATCGTGGAAACAGGTGTACGCGAATTCGCATAGCTTTTTTAATTCTACCTGAAATGTAAAGGATAAATAAGTATATTTGGAATGTATAATTATTTACAAATTAAACAAAGAAAAACTATTCAATCGGGTTTAAGTAAAAATAAGAGGTACGAAATTTTACTTTCGTAATAAATTTAGCAGATTTTTAATTCGGGACTTAATCATGTATCATAAAAATCAAATAATGTGTGAAAATCGTGAAAGTTTAAATCAAAGTAATTTTGGCAGAGCATTGAAATGTGATATACTCATTGTGAACGTGTGAAAGTCGTTACTGTGATGTAACCTTTTATGTCGCTCCACTAGGTATTGAAGAACGAAAGAGGAAACCGGTAATTGCGTTTCAGTGCCTGAAATGCATGCGGATAAGGTAGTATTTACACGGCACCGCTATATGATTTGACCGCAGTATGTGTTTAATATTTTTTATAATTAAGTTTTTAATGCGCCCGATAAGTTTTTCTAGACATTTTTATAATGTGTTTTTGGGTGTTTCAGTACAGTGCGCAGTGTTATAATCTCGAATTAATTTGTGGATGTAAGTGAAATAATATTAATACCAAATAAAGTTACCAATGATATGGTCTCAAACTAGGGAATACCCTATATTATATGTATCAGAGGAATGGAATTCATTTTTTGGCCCTTCCCGGACCACCCAGACGAGAGCTAATTTAGAAAAGATAATTACTCAAATTGATCCTACCCGGAATCGAACTCGGGACCTCTTCATTCAGCGTCCACATTGCAATCTGTTAGGCCACCGAGGTCGTCAAACATTGCATGCGCTCAAACACCTTAAAGGTTAACTTTTTCGATCCTTACTGGGTGGATGTGTTCACAAGGGAGAAAATGTAGGACCTGCAGTTCCACATAGTTTTCTCGAAATGATTTCCTAAAGTGATTTTTTATACATGACACGAAAATACTAAGTTGTGTCGGTGATGGGAATCGGACCTTCAGCGTCAAGATCACGATGATCCCACAGCTACAAATTCGTAAATTTGTATATATACTAGCAATGAATTACCAATGATACACCATCATCATCATCAACCCATTTATACGTCCCGATACTGGTCACGGGTCTCTTCCAAGGCGAGTGTTAAGGCCATATTCCGCCACGCTACCTAATGCGGGCTGGGGACTTCATACGTTTTCCGATGGTTGTGAACCTTCTTCACAACCGTCGGAAATTGATGTTGTCCTTTACCGAAAAGTTTATGCTAAATTTCATAAACTCAGAGGTGCGAGCCTGAGGAGGGTAAGTCATATCATTAGGCTGCAACAGCTATTTTAATGATTGACATTTGAAGGATGCACATTTTGTAGAAACATAATTTCCAATACCGTTAAGACATTTCCAAGTGCTTTTTTATGTTTTTAGTGTATTATCTTGAATACGGTCTTACCTTACACCTTAATCTTACCTTGGACCTTATTGTTACACCTGTTAATGTCTCGCAGTTACCTATATTAGTGTCGAGCTTACCGTTGTTGCTTTATCTCCGACTATATGACTCCAGACGATCGGGTTTGGCAAACTCAGCAATAAAACTAGCACTTTTATATATAGCCATTTCCAGAAATTTAAAATAGTTAATGGCATCTTGACTTGACCCCAGGAAATTCCTTTGTCGAGCATTGTAAGCCAACTGACGCAAAACATTGGTCTGAAATATACAACGCTGGGGATGTTTATTTTAGTGTACTATGTTCTATTCTAACTATATCATACGGTATTGTGGCAAATTCATAGACATATTCCTAGAAATTAATTATTATAAGTTTTGCTTGTTCAAACGATAATACAAGGAAATAGCATACATGATTTGATATACATCGTTATCGAGAGTTTAATTGTTTATTGCTTGTCGTAGCAGCATAGTGAACATTATTGTTGTAAAACGTTAATATTTAGTTTATACACGATTAGTTATTGCTTTTATACATATATAAGGTTCTTTGGATACAAAATGTCAACATTGAAAAAATTGGTTAGGATAATTTTCATAATCTATTTAAATACAAAGAAGTAGGGTACGTAATAATTCACAGAAATATGAAAACTTGATGATATGTTACTTTTATTTAGTGTAGGCGTGCTGAGTACGGATTTTTCGAAATTGAATCCATGAGAGGTTGGAAAAGGGTAAAAATGTTTGTATGAAAAATCGTATTCCTTGAACTTACAAGGATAAAACTTAGTATTAATATTCGATGATGCGAAAGGTAAAAGAACGTGTGTCGGAGTTTTTCTAAACTAAGAAGGGTAAGCTTGGGTATCAAATAAGTAAATAAATAAATATTAGACAATATCACATTCGTCTTAAAGTAATAACTATAGCACTTGTGTTATGTAAATCGGAAACAACGACTATACCAGAAACACACGGACTCGAGACAATAATAGAAAATTTGGTTCTTCTACATTTCATTTCATCACGGGACCTCAGACATGGCTACACCATGAAAATTGGTATGCATGCTCCTCGTCCACTGAGGTCGTCAAATGAAAATATTTTGATAAAACTTTAAACGCTTTTTGGTTTTTACATTTTAGCAAATAATTTACGTAATTTTTTAGGTACGTCTGTGCGGACTAAACCGCAGATACAAATGAGAAATATTAATTATACAAGTAGGTTTAATTACCTTACCTATTTCTGTCGCCTAGCATTAATGCGAGCGTTCCGGTTTTGAAGGGTTAAGGGTGCTGGTGAAATTACCGGCACATGGGACTTGTCAACTTATGTCTCAAGGTGACGGGCGCTGTGGCAGTGCCCCTTAGATCTTTGTGATTTAAACTCCTGAGGGGTACCGTAACTGTTATGGACAGGCGTGTCGTTTTAATTTGCTTTTTAGTAGTGTATAATGCATGTAAAATGTACAATTTTGTATATGCATTATACATTTATTATACAGACGATAGCGGGCAATAGTTAGTAAATTATAAAACGAATATCATTTCTCGTCACAGTTCCAATTTTTCTTAATGTGCTTTATATTTGCAAATTTTGTATATTATACATAATATAATATTAAAAAAACAGTTGCGTGAAGTAAATATGACGGAAGGCAACATGACATACTTTTTTAAATTTAATACTTACAATTATTGCAATTAACTCATTTCATGGACTATTACAATAGCATTTTTGGACTGTTACCTGTTCTGCATCTTTATATTTCAATATCAAAATATAAGTCCTTAGAAAATAGATTCAGCAATGTCAACTTGCACTAAAATGCTTGTAATGCAAAAGACACCCTTACTACTATATGTTAAGAGTGTTTAATCAATTTAAGCATTGGTTTAAGACGTACTTCAGTTTAGAGTACGTGGATATTAATGTTTTTAAATTTATACGATTGTATAATTTAACTACATTCGATAATTTTAACCCATTTTTTACCATCAATGTCCAAAAGATATCTTGGCCTTTTATTATATATACTAGTTTAAAGTTGGAATAAAAAAAAAATATTGTTTTTATTTTAAGAGTTTTAAACTCGCTTATTCATATTTATGCTCGGTTTCATGAAGAGATAAGTTTGTTTGTCAAGGAGTAGGTTGGCAGATTTCACAATTATTTTTCAATCTTCGTATCGTACACCATGAAATTTGGTACATTTCATGATGCGTGATTAAATCATATTATTAGTAAGTGATCTTTAAACATTTTGATTCAATCAGCCGAGTACCAGTCTGTGAGTTGCAGATTTAGTTACTTTCTAAAATTTTATTTATGGCTCTAAGAAACTGGTATTAATGACATTTGTTATTCATATCACGTAGGTAGTAGTATAATTATGCTTTAATTAAGTGCAAAACGTGAAACGAAATATATAATTCGTGTAAATGCGAGTAATCGTGTTCGTATAGACCAGAGACGCTTTTTTTTATAGAACTCGGCTGTGTATTACTTTGGGCTTAGACAGTAAAACAGTGTAATATTTGCTAATTTTACACTGTTTTAATCGCTCTTATATTTTTAGCAGCAGAAATTTTACTGCTGCTAAAAATATAAGAGCGAAAGAAAAGCGAGAGTAAAAGAGAATTTAGGAGAAGTACTGCCACCTTACCTATACTGCTACCAAGTAGTAATATGAGCATTACTGCGTTCCGGTTTTGAAGGGTAAGGGTGCTGGTGAAATTATAAGCACATGGGTCTTGTCCACTTATGTTTCAGGGTGACTGCAACTGCTATGGACACATGGCCTAACACCATGGAGTATGTAACCAGAAATAGAGACGAAATGTCATTTAATTTGTTTGAAAACTATTCTGCCACGTCATTACTGTGACAACTGCGCTCCGATTGGCTAGCCCAAGTTCTAAACAATAGACGGGTGTCGTTAATGGGTGTCGTCAACTGTTTTAATTCAAATCGACCAGTTAACTTGAACTTTGCTATAATGGAAGAAAATTGCAAAATTACATATTTAATATTTAATTACCGATGAAATGTGATTCCGTTTTGTAATTAGATGTTTTGCTGTTTTTCCAACACCACCGCATAGAACAGCACGGCATTGTTAGAGATATTATCTTTATTACAATAAACACAGAATATTTTTTGAAATATACGGAGACGTACACACAGGTCAGTAGTTGACCGGTCTATATTTCAGTGCAAACGAGTGTCGACATTTATAAGAGCTGTATCGCGAATATATGGTCCTCATTTCGTCTCTATTTCTGGTTATATACTCGATGCCTAACACTAAGTTTACGACTTATTCGCCCCGTCACTTATCATTTATTTATTTATTTATTTATTCTTCATAAAAAACTGTCATCATAAAAAAAAATTAGGAACAATAATAGCTAAAGACAACACATTTACTGATAATGTATAAGTTTACTATCTCAAATTAACACACAAGAAAATTAGAACGTACAAAGGTTTGCTATATAAAATATCAAATATGAAGTTATGGCATTGATTGAAAGAAATGTAAAATAGGAATAATATTGTAATCAATCGTCGTAGAAAGTGCTGGTGGGTCGCCGGGAAATGGTTAGTATCGATTTGTCATCTGGACAGCTGGTCTGCTTATAGTCTGAAACACAGAAATACACAAGTTCAAAAAATCACGACGTACCTAAATGGTTAGTAACACATCCTCCATATGTATTATCCAATGTATTATGTTTTGTAGAGATAGAGTATCGTCAGCGCAATAATATGCAAAATTTAATATGTAACACCGATTTTGACAAGAGCGTTGACAGACAAAAGCAATGGAAGCAATTTAGGTTGATCAAGTACAACATCTCTTCGTTCTCGAGAAGAATTAAACATTATACTTCTCCATTTTCGCGATCTACTTCGACTACATTATTTTGCTAGCATTTTCGGCGAGCGGGCAGTGCGTTATTTGCCTTTGTGTCATGCGATCGTTATGAGTACAATCCAGAAGCCGTTCCAAATGCATTTTAACTATAACAAGCATTGACTTACAAATAAATGGACGACGGGTCTAATACAAAAACCACGAAAAAAATGTCCCAAGTCAACCTATTCGAAATTTAAATTGTAATGTCATCGCAGTATCGCGCTGTCAGTAGAACAAATGAAGACTAAAGCGGAGTGTCGCACTTGTAAGGCGCTAAAATCGTATACGGAGCATACGATTTTAGCGCCTTACAAGTGCGGACACTTTTTAGCGCGGACCCGACGTCCATATAATTGTAAGTCAATGATAACAAGGCTCTTTTTAGAGCTCCTGCCTGTAACTTGCGCACAGTGTAGGTGTAATATTAGTACTACACATATACTTTAAGTGACTTATTTTTGAGTAATGTACTTATCTGTACTGCTACCTACTGCTACCGAATGGAGATGGGATGTAAGCTTGAAAAGAACGGTCACACCAGATTGTGATAAATTTGTAAATTATACACAAAATTACGATTTCTAGGTACTTAGCGTTCCTACCGTAATTATCAAAAGTTCGTACAAGTAACTGTAAATTAAACAATACTGTAGCTAGTAAATAATAATCTGTGGCTAAAAACTATACTAACTTCGCCTCCTGATACAGTTGAAATCAAACATGTCGCATAAGTCGCGGAAACCCATGATGTCACCGGCGTGGCTTACGCCGCAAACAGGCACGCGGTCGTGGTTGCACACCTTTGCCATACTGCACCATTTTGCCCCCATCTGCAATTGTCTTTGAGTTGAAAAAAAAAAGAAAATGTAGGAGTAGAGTATATAAATGAAATAAAGATTAAGATAGATGGATGCTTCGTAGGGTCAGGTGAAAGGAACACCGGGTTAAGAGGGACTCGAAGCCTTAACTCATAATTTAAAGAGTTTAACACTATAGTCTCTTAGTCGATAAAACAGACAAACAAACACATGCAGCTCACTCGCCAGATATGTATGCACCCTAATGATTGTCAAAATATGTAAATCTGATAAACAAAGGCAAGTTTAGTGTATTTCAAAATTCTTATAAAATTCTAGAGAAAGTTTCTAGGAATAGTCTATAGGAAAGTTTTCATTACCATTAAATCAAGTGATAGTCAATAGTATGGGCTGTTACTTAATTTATTCTTATGTCAATAAGTGTACAAAATTGTATTTTTGTTTTATAGTAAAATAATATAATAAAATAATAATAATAAAATACCCTCAAAATTTATGAAAAATACGCTTGTTGCGACTAATCAAACAAAGTCATGTTACGGAGATTCGATATGCCGAAATGACACCAGCACGGACATACCTACAAGAACTGTCTATACAAAAGTTAATAAGTAAAAATATGTAATAAGGTAAGAAATATTTACTTTTTTTACCTTCCTCCCCATGGCAATGTCTTCGCTGTCACGGTCCTGTGGCGGCCCGTGCGTCGATACTGTGGATAACACACAGCACAGCACAACGAACGCTATAATCAAACAGAAGTAACACATTGAAAAATCACTATCCCGTTCTAAAACTGAAAGTAAATGAGTTATTAATAATAAATATGTTAACTATTAATTTTAATGGAAAATTCATACTTAAATAACTTTTTTATAAAAAAAAGCCGTCCTCAAAGTTCCTGAAATTAGATCTGTTTGCCAAGTTTTATTGAAATCGGCTACCGAAAAGTGCGCGGAACCGGATTCATTCCTAGTTTGCAACCCTTAGAGGTGGAATATTTCCATCAAATTTAAATGGAACCAATACTGAGTGAGGTACCTTCTTTCCAATAAAAAAGAATCATCAATACCCCCTCCTTTTATAAAGTTGGTTAACAAAAACCATTTGAGTTAAAAAAAAACTCTGTACATTATTTGATTATACAATCTGATCTCAGCAAAATGTCAGCTGCAGCTTCAAAATTATATTTTTAATAAAATTTATTCTTGCAATGTTACTAGATCAACTGAGTTCAAGCAAGTTATTGACATTAACCCTTGAGACCCAGGTTACTACCTAGTTCATGGGAAGTACTGTCTCCACATTAGACCCTGTTGTACAAAACTTGTTTAGTTGTAATCCACGCCATGTAATGTGTTTCTATTTTTTATGTACAATAAATAAATTATAAACATGAATCGTGGAATTTACAGACTATTAAAAATAAAAATGTACAGAGATTAAGAATAAGCAAAATTTTTAAAAACTAATAAATACCTGCTGTAGTCTTAATTATGACCATTTCGGTATCGTCAGGATTCCGTTGAGGTCGACTTGCGAGTGGCACTAAAACTAGTGTTTTGTTGAAAACCATCTCTGTTTACAAAGCCTAGGTATTGTCCAGCTATGAATTATAACATCCTGCAATTGATTTATTTCGTGGTAACAGTAAATCAGTGAAATCTTTGTTTATTATTTTTAAGTTAAACTAAACGTCGTTAGAAGGGCGGAATGTGGTCACATTTATTCTTGTTTACCAACCGGAAGAATGTAAGAGAACATTAGTAGTCTTTAACGTTATTTGTTTTTTAATTATCAAGATATGATAATTAAAAACGATATTTTGATACTTTTTTCTAACTTTAATCAAACACATTACGTTGGAATGAAGTTCGAAAAAAGGCATTGTTCAAAATTGTACCTAAAACTTATATTTCATAACGTATAAAAAATTTGCAGTTTCAAAAGAAGACATTGTTTATGTAGCTTACCCTATGATTCAAAATATGGAAACTTGTAGTTAGTAGTAAAACGTCGTTAAAGAGGCGGAATGTGGTCACAGTGTTTCTTGTTTACCAACCGGAAGGCTGTAAAATAAACATTAGTATTTTTTAACGTTACCTATTTCTTTTTTAATTATCAAGACATGGTAATTAAAAACGATATGATGATACTCATTTCTAACTTCATTCAAACACATTGTGTTTAAAAGCATTGTTCAAAATTGTACCTAACTTCATTTACATAACGTATAAAAATTTGCAGTTTCAAAAGAAGACATTGTTTAAGTTTACCCAATGATTTAAACTATGCAAACTTGTATTTAGTAGTAAATATTAATACTTTTAAAATGTAATACTGTATACGGGATAAACATGGTTGTTGTCGTACAATAAATTGAAAATTCGAGGGTAACGGTTGCCGATGTCTTTGTTAGGAACATTAAGCATAATAATGTGATGTCGTTGAAGTCTTTTCTTTAGCAATATGGTTTTACTAGGGCTTGTGACATTTGGCGGTGAGTGCCAGTACGGTCATGTGCGGGACATGAAATAAATATTCGTAGTGTTTTCGTGTTTGTTGTCGTGTACAAATTGCTTGTTACAGTTTATTGCAATTCCAATTGAATCCACTGCAACGAAATGCCACAATCAGCTCATATATTTCTGACGTGTGATTTGTATAATTCGTTCAAAGCGTTTGAGTTCCAAATAGTAATTAAACATAGATACTATAATAACTACATTCTATACGTAATGACGCACATTAACGCGTTTCATATTTGTTAATCATTAGATATAATTAGGAAAGCTGCGATGGTTTGGTTACGTGAAACGGACGGATGATAAAAGAGTAATGGCGCAATGATAGATATTGCATGTGGATGTAGATGATGTGCAAAGTCCACCTGAATGGACGTGTTATTCCAACCAGATGGAGAATGTAAGGACATTTCAGGGGAAAAGGCCATGTGAAAAGTACCCAAAGCCAACGTGAATTTAAATTGAAATGAAAAGGTTATTGCGAATGGAGGAAGTACACGGGCGTTGCCCATGGGTTGCGTGTTAAGTTCCAACGCACAGTATGGCGTGTCGTTTTGTTATATCTACAACGCCACGTTGTCACAACGCCGAAGCACCATTCTCTGAGAGGTATACAATGTATGTATGTAGCAGATAGACGTCCAAAGTATCTGCCTATTGCATTGATAAATGGACGTACAAATATATTATGCCTTCGGAGGAACACAGACTTAATTGCAGAAAATTTGATCCTAAACCCAATTTAAACAGCAATTTATAAAAAAAACCAGAGATGCATTACGCAGTTATCATATTTTCCCTAGAGTGCAAAATATTTAATAAAATAGTTAACATTTAAGAGCTCTTCAAATGTGTTCAGTAGCTCTAAACACAAATTGGCCTTAAAAACTGTAAATTATATAAATGTAAGTTAACTGTTTCATATGAGGTGCTATATGCCACTGTTGTAATATTAGGGGTTAAAGTATGAAATTGCCGTTTTATTGCAATAGGTTCTTTGAATTTTCATAGAATCTTCATGGTTTGAGGTTTTCGAATGAAACTTTTTTCAAATGGTTTCTGTGATTTTTTTTTTTTTAATTTGAAACATTTGAATATCGACTTTCAATTGTTTTTGTTATTCAATTTAGAC